CATAAGTAGGACTAGTGGAGCAAAACAGAATTCAATGGTAAGCAACTGTCATAGCCATACAAAAGCAAAATGTGGTGTCCTCACTCTCACCGATCGAGCTGTTTCAGGGAGGAATTTAATGTACACTGAACTCTGGGAATAGCCTCAACCACATGTAGTACAACTTGGGTAAACGGTTACTGCTGAGCCCTCCATGACTTTGGCGATTTGTACTTCAGCACGACATTACTTCGCAGGGTGGCGTGGAGCTAAACTGACGCCTTGGAGAATGTTGAATTTGGGAGCAAATATACCCTGCATTATGGGCCATTTATAAACTCAGACCCATTGTTCTGACAGTAAGGACACTGGGGCAAGTATGACGAAGAACCAACATGCCAGGGAAAGCACTAGCGACCGTTTCGGCTGTTTTATAAGGAAAATGTGGGTACTAATTCACTGTACCGTGTCAAAATTATCTACATTACAAGCAGGTCTTTTTCCCTCTCCAGTCGATGAAGTTCGTCAACAGGTCGACAGAAGTTCTCCTCCCAGGGCTTCCTTTGTAATGGATACTTCCGAATGGGGTTAGGACCTGTAATGGAACCCTTGTGCTTGTAGCAAACAACACACTGGTGTAACATGCTTGGGCAATGTCCGATGCCATCGTAGGCCAGAAATATTTCATTCGTGCCTGTTAGATACTGCGGGGCGGTCCTGTCCGGTGCGCTACAACCTGGGACAGATCGTTTGGATCAACTCTGTATCACCATTGAAGGTGTATATGTTCTGCGGTGTTCACCAGCTGTGTCAACAGACACTGCACAGAACTTCCTGTTGGGTTGACCATTAAATCCATCATGAATCGGGACTGACCAGTAATCAACGTCCTCCTTGTTAAGGAAACGAAGGACTGGAGACTCAACACCAGGGTCCTTGACGTTGGGGCTCGTCTCAGATCCTCAACAGAGAACGAGTTGCCGACACTCACGAATGCAATAGTCTCGACAAGGCATCAGCTACAACATTTTGCTTACCTGGGACATAGCAAATTTCAGGGATGTAGTCATTGAACTTGAAGTCGACCACCGAGCAAGGCTTTTCCCCGAGAGGTTCTTATTCGCAAAAAGGGCCAATAAGGGTAAATGATCTGTGTAACACCTGATAGGATAATGACAGATATATCCCGAAAAATGACTCAGGCCCTACAAAGGCAAAAGCTTCTAGCTCTGTTCCACTGAATAATTAGACATCCTCTTTTAGTAAGAACACGGCTAGCATACCAATATGCTGTGCTTACCATTACTTTCCTGTGACAAGAAACTGCACCGATGCCAACTTTGCTGGCTCAAGTCTTCAAGAGGTAAATGCCATGGTGAAATCAGGGAATCTAGGTTTGGGGCTGATACCTTTGTTCTTAAGAGGTGACAAAAGCCTCGATCCCTGATCACACTGTTCCACTCAAAGGGGCATCCCCTTCTTGAGTAAGCGTGTCGGGGTGCAGCATGGGGTAGAAACCAGCGATCAAAAGTGCGGTAGAAATCCCGCCAGGCCATGAAGGACCGTGACTGCAGCCGCGGACATGGTCTGGGAATTTCGCACGGCCGAAGAATTTAGACTCGTACTGTCATTAAGCCATTCTGAGTCACTTAACTGACCCAACAATATATTTCCTTCCGGAGGAATGGCATGTGGAGAGCTTTACCTTAAGGTTAGCCTGAGCTAGCCGCTCCAATACCCTGGTCAAGTCCTCAAGAATGACGGGACATTTTTTGCGACATGAGTTTCTATAGAACATCTAGGAAGAACCATGAGCGTGCACCTAGGAGGGTACAAAAATTGTCGTCATCAAACGACTTAAAAACGTGAATTGGGCTTCCGCGCGAAGCCGAAGGGCATCCTCCTGAAACTGGTAATGACCATTGGCGTAGAGAAGAATGCCTGTCAGCTCTCTGCTCTCATCACGGGGATCTCCAGAACCCATGGAAGATCCAAGAGTTTGCAAAGACCTTATTATCGCCGAAATGTTCTGCAACAGTCAATCAGAACTGGCAACAGAAAAGCGGTCTGGGATCAGTTACAAGCCTCAGTTTCCTGTAATCGATAACAGGGCGCCAGGATCTGCTTTTGGGGACCAGATAAGGGGAGCATTCCACGGGGAAGTGGACTCCTCAATAACTCCATCACGTGAGCATCCATGAAATGAGTATCTTCCGGCCTATGACTCATATGCGCATTTGGCAGCGATAATTCAGGTACTAAATGGGATTAATACCTTTGTCAAGTGGAATACGGTGAGTAAGATCAAGGGGTCAGAGCCCATCGACACACCATCTAGTGCACTGCAGAACGTGCACGAAGAGAAACCTGAGAATTTTTGGGAACCCTTCAGGATAGTCGTCAATAGCTAAGATCATCTTCCTGCACTGGGCCGGGTGTTGGGAAGAAGGTCAGCAGCAACTCGCCTGGAAAGAACTGCGCACTCACAAGGTAGTCAGCTGGGTCATCACCCTCCACTCTCACCGGGAGATGGAATCTGACAAGGTCGACAAGTGGTATTCCTTAACAGGGAAATTTCCTCGACTGTAGGCATGTAGACAACAAGGACTTGCAACTTACCACGTTGCACTGAGTGCAAGGATGTTCAAGAGAGGCCCATGACTCGCACGTTTCATTGTCAACCAGCACATGGTCTCCGTCAAAAGCTCTGCACACGTACACTGTAACAGGAGTGAGCGAGTTAGCAGACAAAGTGACGTATGACTTTGTACAAGCATTAACTCTGCTCGCTTGATAGTGCCATGAGACACGAGTCAGACAGTCGCCTGCCAACAGGTATACGGCAGCTTGACAACTGCTGTCTCATACAACAGCGTCAGAGTGACGAGTTAAGGGTTAGACTGGGCGACCCCAGACTGGGTTTCACTGGAACTAATGCTGTGGCCCGAGGTACGGCAACGAAAGCTCTACTAAAAACGAGGTCGATCAAGGACAAGAGACCGACCCCTGGAGAATGTGGCTATGGAAACCACCGGTTCCAACGATTCCATGCACTGTGCATACTCTGAGACAGAGTAGCACGTAGTGGATCCTAAGCACAAGCCCCAGAAGGGCCATCCACTCCGTTGAATTCGCTATCCACTCAGCTGGATCTAGCGATCCTAAGGTCTGCCATGGATTTGAACCCTATGGAAGCATTTCACCATTGGAAAAACAATACAATCTACGACCAAGAATTTTGTCGTGAGCTATGTACCCTGACCGCAAATTCTAACGTGGTACGACCCATTAGACCGACAGCGATTACCTGAGAACTCCACTCAGGTCTGAATGACAGAACCTGCTCTGTTCAAACATGGCCATGTGAAGACCAATGTCCCTCGGAAAAGAGAGGCGGCGGAACAATGTTAACCACCGAACCTGTATCTAGGAAAAGCTGGACAGGCTATGGTTGACAATGGGACTCGATGAGCGGTTCCACACGGGTTGTCAAATCCGAACATGAAGGCATGAGACAGGGGATTGGACCGACGAAAACCCCGTCGTCACAGCTGCTTTAGAGGCTCGACGCTTGTTGACAGGTCTCGACCTGGAAGGGTACGGTAGCAAGTCTCAGCACCAACGTCATGACACTGTTTCCTCACTGTCGGAAAGCGTATCACTGCCCAGGGCTGTGAACGCATATGCGGACCAGGGACGGGAATACAGTGACTCTGACAGGTTACAAGTCTTTTGCTGGTTTTGCGGACGCCGCCTCTTCCCGAACAAGTGGAAGGGCATCTACGTAGCACGTGCATTTCACGACGACTGCTATGCTCCACTCAGCTGACAGCATACTTCGCAGCTTGTGACACTCATGGGAGTATGACTGGAAAGTTATTGTGGGTACAACCAGACCCCACGCGAAGCTGAGCGCGTGGGACAGTTATGGGTTACTTATGGATACTGAGCGTGGGGATGGTGATGGTACTTTGCGGGGACTAGGTTGTGTAAACACTCCTGATCGGTAAGTGCCCGCGTTTTCCCACAGTTGAAACAATTCACCACGCGCTTAGTAGGTGAGGTATGGAAGGTGGTGTTTTTCAGCGACGTTTTTGAGCCTTGACCAGGAAGTAGTCGATGTACTAGCTTATTTGTATGAGACTGACTGTTTTTACTTGTGTCCAATAATTTTACATGGTCGAGTGGTTTAGTGGGACTGGGGTTAGAAACTAAAGTGGGCTGGCTGTCCTGACAGCAGCGGCACAAGTGACTTCCGGCTGCACGCGGGTCACTGTGGACGGCGCCGGAAGGATGGGTAAAAGATCAACCGAAAGCGACAACCTTGGCCTTGCTCGGCAGGCAGCATGAAAACGCGTCAATAGCATCATATGCACCCAGGACGTCGTGCTGAGTGCAGAGTCCCTAGCGCATCATTCACCTCGGAGGTTAGGGGGGCATCCCACTGCATGATGCCTACAGCCCAGCAAGGGGATGATGTCTTAGCTTTTAATACAGTGACGTCACCATACACCCACTTAGTGGAGCTGTGGCATCAGATAAAGGTCTTTGGGGGGGTGGGCGGCTTGCTCAAACGGCAAATGCAAGCAGGGGGCTATCGAGCCGTATAAATTGACATTCGGCCCAAGACGCTGGTAAATGTCCAATGTAATGGCGTTGGCGACTACGCCGAAATAAACTCCTAAATTCCACCATAAGCTCGTCCCCAAGACTGAATCTTACAAACGCGATTGAGCTGCACAAAGGCCCTATATCATCCCGGGATGAGATCCACAGCTGCAACAAAGCAACGAAAGTACTGTGCATGCCTACGTGGTGACTATCAAATAGGGGCCATAAAAACAGTCGTCTCGCGTGACTGTGCAGCCATGCTCTAACCTATAGAACGACCCGTCAAAAAGAAGGGTCGGGTATGAAGAGTAGCCGGCCCACTGGTGGTCGAGGGACTTGAGCCACAAGTTGACCACGTCCACGGGGGCTTTCGATGCCCTGCCGTGTGTTTCACGCTGTCTTGATGCACCATGCTAGCACAGCATAATCGTGGACTAATGGTACGGCCACTGCGTGTCATAGTCAAGACATCAATTGTTCAAACGCAAGTAGGTCACAAAGAGGTAAAAACAGGTCCCAGAGCAAGAAATGGTAGTGCACTGGCAACAATTCTACGAGTCAGAGAGAACAGCGCAGCACTGACTAGGAAAACTGCTTAGTGATGGAACTAATTTTTAGCAAAACAAAAAAAAAAGTGGTACACACTGAAACACAAAATAAAGAGAATGAAGCAAGTGAAAGACTAACAGGGAAGTGCACAAAATGAAGCTAAAAGGGTGTCAATTATTTTCACACAGGAACTGGACACAACAAAATTTATGAAAAGGAGTTGAAGCTATAAAAATACTGGTAGCAAAAAATTCACAAAATTTAAAATAAATCAGGTACCACCCAACTCTAAACTGTGCTGCAAGCACAGTTTAAAAATATTGCAGGTGCTGCAGTTGCAAATTGGAATGCAAAAAAAAAAGTAATTTCACTTGCACAAAGGGAAGTTGCACAGTCAAAGATATCATAGTATGGGAAAGTGCCAAAAAACACACGAAAAAAAAAAATACACATCAAGAAATGCTATATTGCACACACAATTAAAATTAATAAAAATGCAAAATTATTAAATTCAAGAATAGGGCAAAAGTGTTAACTGTGTTAGCAGGGTGTACACTGTGTGTTAGCAGGGTGGTAACACTGGTGTATAGCCGGTGTGTACACTGCAAAAACAAAAATTTCCCAATCTCAAGATCAAAATTAATAGAACTTCACTAAGTCATTTAGTAATTACTGATAACGTTCAAAAAATCACTCAATGACTTGGTATACAAAATAGCAAAATGCAATGCACATTGGTGAATATTCCCAGAGAAACATAGAATTATATGTAAACAAATAAAAGGGGAAACAGAGAAAGTGAAATGGGCTAGGCACAGATTTGTATCACTGGGGGGCAGTAAGAATAAACTAATACATTAAGTACTTGAAGATACACCTAATTAAAGAAAAAACACACTAACAAAACAAAACATGCAGGGTTAGTCCAACAAACTGTGGCTAACAATTGTCAGGTGCAACTAACAAAAATTAACAGCACACAGGAATTACATTGCAAACTGTATAATGAGAGGTAAATAGTAAAAATGGTTAACACAGAACAATTATAAATCAATAACTGAGGTGCAAGATGCCGAATAAAATACTGGAATTTAAAATGAATTAAGGTACAAATAATGAACAAAATATAAGTAGCCAGAGGATAAGAGGCAAAATGATTACACAGATGACTAAACTTAACAAGTTACTTAAGTATGGCTTTCAGTAACTGTAACTGAATTGGTGCAGGACAGTTTAATAATGTCACAAAATATTAGAAATGCTCGGTAAGTCACTGTTTACTTACTTTGAGCTGCAGGATATGACGAAGGTACTGGTGTCTGCAGATCCTGGAACTTTCAGTGATGCTCTAGTAACACTACACGCCTCGTAGCATTTGTATACTGCTATGGGGCTTCAATGACGTAGGAAAAATTATCATGATGGACTTGGGAAGAACATGCAAGACCGGGATACTCTGTGGAGGTATAAAGATATAGAGAGAAACGTGCTAACTCAGCGTGAGCCACAGCTGTGTCGTGGATATGTTTACACTGGCAAAACGTTGTACTGGGCGTGCACTGACTGCGGGCTTCAGCACACGGAAAACAAAAGGCCATTTACTGCACTACACGAACGTGCTAAAACAAGCTTAAGTGAAACTAGGAACTGGGACGAGGAAGTTTTACTGTAACAAATCACTGGGGAAAACAAAACTGGTGAAGAACTGGGAATGTAACAGCAATGGGAAGAGAAAAAAAATTAACTGGGCAACACAAAAAAAAAACTGCACTGAGTAGTTGTAGACACAATGATGAGTCACGAGCTGCTGTAGACGGCGAGGGGGGCTGAACTGAGCTGGCTGTAGGGGGCTAAGCCAACTGGGTTTCCACGTGGTTAGCCAGGTTAGAACATCCTGGAGGAACCTGGGAATAACACAACACAACAGGAAGGCTAGATGGACGTCGTAGCGTAGCAGAGAAGGCTTGTAGAGAAGCTTGTGTTGTTTACGCACGCACACAACGCAGCCTAGGGTATCAACCAAACCCCAGAGCTTCCCTCGTGGTCACGCATGGAGTCACTACGAAAGCCAACACACTAAACCGACCTCACCACTTCTTCTTTGCTGAGAAGGGCTTAAGAGACGCTGTAGGAGGCAGGAGAATGGTGCTGGAGGAGTGTTGAAGGGGCTGTAGAGATGGGTGATTAGTTGAACAAGAGACTGCTAAGGGCTGGAGATGACGCCGTGACGCCTATGTCCAGATTTTGGTGGGAAAAATCTAGGACGAAGATCTATCTCAGATCCCGTCAAACGCTGGGATAACAAAATAACTCTTTAGACCACAGGTGCATTGGATGACGACGGATGAAGTTGACTGGGGGTCAAACCGATGGTGTTGACTGGCATCAACCTCTCCACCCTGAGTAGGCTCACGATGCCGTTGACTCCGCTGTCACCACTGTTATTGCTGTTCTTGCTTCTGAACAGCGGTTTAGTGCCAATGAAGGTAGCGTAGGTAGCAATGAAAGGGCCGTGGACTATTTTGGCTTTAATTGGGGTAGGAGTGAGTACACAACGGCAGTGGGGAGGGAGTGACCGCAAGCCAGTCCGGGGAGGGGAGCACTTTTGTCTTCAAGTGGGTCGGCCTAGGAGTGAGCATGGAGGGGCTCAGCCCCCCAAACTGACCTGAGTGACCCTACAGAGGCAGCACCTAAATGCTGAAAAAATATGAACTAGTCAGAGCAGACGGCTAGGCTTGTGTTCTGACAGTACAGCTGTCTACACACTCACCTTCACCTCACCCCTCACACACACACACACACACACACACACACACACACACACACACAACACACACACACACACCCCACACACTTCACCGACGATAATAAATTCGCTTCACTACTCACTACATTAAGCCGTCGGACTTGTCATAGCATTCAAAGTGAAGATCACAGCGGTCCGTCAGGGGGACGCACTGTCCACGGGAACACTGCCACTGATCTTCCAGACAATCCACCACCGCTGGGAAACGCAAAATAAATCAATAGTTTAGTGCTCGCTGAAGCTGTCGATAATCTAAAATAACTTCGCCACCACTGAAATACTAAGACATAAAGAAGCAATAATTACTGCAACACATTCTATTGGAACTATTTCCTGAAGTGTAGAGAAATAGACAATATGCAATGTAAGGAGATCCGTTATTGACAACCGTTTTCGCCCACCCCAGTTGACTTTATCAAGTCACAAATAGATCAATCGAGCAGAGTAAAATGGGTACTCTCTGCTTAAAGTACTCTGCATTTGTCTATTTTCCATTGTGTCCGTATTTTATACTAGTAATCCCCAGTGAGGTGTTAAGCTGTCGAACATGAAGAAAAGATAAAAAACGAGTCGCTGGTAGAAGGGCTCTGAGATTCTGACAACGCCACAGAGTCAACAGTAATCGTAATAGTGACTAAAAAAACGGCAATTAAAACTTTTTAAAACTGTCACTAAAAAGGCAAACGTTTATACTAACAAAGGTTTATAGCAAAGGAAACTAATTGTAAATTTCAAAAATAATTAATATCATAGCTCTCAGAAGTCACTAAAGTCAACACCTCACAGTACAAATATCAGACATCACCTCAGACACACCACAAGTTAATAAAAGGCGCTACAGCCAATGGTAAAAAATACTGAAAATCTTTAATTACACGCAAGTACAACAATTGGGTATCAAAACAAACCATTAAACCCCCGCCGGATTGAACCCGTGGTCATAGTCCCCAAAACTCCAACCGTCGCGTTAGCCACTAACCAGCTACCACAATAAGATTCGTCCAACTAGGTAATTTCTACACCAAAGGAAGGTTAGCACAGGCACCTCTGTGACCACAAATGCAAGTTTTTTACAGATGAATCTCCAGCTAGCGTGGCCGTGACGAACCCTTTAGCTCAAGTCCCTTCACTGCCGTCAAAAATGACTCACGAAATCGAAAATGAAAACGATTGCAAACAAACCAACCAACAGTTAGTTAATCTTTCATTCCGAAATATTTCGCCTACACTGTAGGTTTTCTTCAGTTGAGTACAGAGTCAGCAGTAAAGATTAATGAGCCCACTAACCTTTGAAGACGTTGAGGGTGCAGTCCCTCAGCCTGGAGAAGAAATTCAGTTTCCTCAGCCGGGGAAGAGTTCAGTTCCTCACCTGGGAAAAAGTTCAGTTCCATGGTCCTGGAACGATATGAAGATGAAGCATGAGACTGGAATCTTAAATACCGTCGAAGGCGAGATGGAAGATCTGGAAGACGTTGTAAGGGACGGGATCCACTAGTGGGAGTAAGAAGGCAGTCAGTCGGAATCCAGCCCTTCTTATCAAAACGGGAAGATACACCTGAAGAAGGAAGATTTCTTCTTCAGTGACAATAAGTGTCAGGGCCCGAGACTGTTTAACTGCCTCCCAGCATACATAAAGGGGATTACCAATAGACCCCTACTGTCTTCAAGCAGGCACTCGACAAGCCCCTAAAGTCGGTACCTGACCAGCCGGGCTGTGGCTTGTACGTTGGATTGCGTGCAGCCAGCATTAACACCCTAGTTGATCAGGCCCTGATTCACCATGAGGCCTGGTCACAGACCGGGCCGCGGGGGCGTTGACCCCGGAACTCCCCTACAGGTAAACTCCAGGTTACCAAGATAACCGTTGTGTGCAGTTTCTGACAGTAATTAAATAACAAAAAGGCACAATACCGTGACGGAACGATAAAACAAATATCCCGCACATAAAAAGAGAAGAACTTACGACGACGTTTCGGTCCGACTTGACCATTGAAAAAGGGTTCACACTGTGTGACTTTGTCAATGGTCCAAGTCGGACCGAAACGTCGTCGTAAGTTTCTCTCTTTTAGTGCGGTTATTTGTGTATCTGACAGTATTGCTGATATAAAAACCGACAAGTTAAGATTAGACACAGTTGGGCATCTTTTGATGAAACGTTTCGCCTTCACAGTAGGCTTCTTCAGTCAAATACAAAGGGGGCAGTAGAAACGAAATAAAGGTAATCAGTCTATCAACGTTTTACAAAAAAAAATATTTGAAGTCCAATAGACTTGACTTCTTTCTTCCACAGTGGGTTCCGTCCCCTTACAACGTCTTCCAGATCCTCCAACTCACCTTCGACGGGATTTTAAAACTCCAGTCCCCATGCTTCAAATCGTTCCAGACCATGGAGCTGAAAATCTTCTCCACCGGCGAGGACTGACCACCTCAAATACTTTTCCTCCAAGATTGATGGACTGATTACATTTTTCTACTGCTTCCTTTGTATTTGACTGATGAAGCCAAATGTGTAGGCGAAATGTTTCGGAATAAAGATACCTTACTATTGTACACGTGTCTTGCTTAGTATAAAAACGTATACTTACGACAATCATATTAAATCCTCGCCGTTGAGACAGTCTAACTTTCTGTCACAGCGGAGTCAAAAGAGGTAGACAGCGTCCGTCGTCACACTGAAACAACGATCTCTCCTGTCCCGGCCATTGGCACGTCACCCACCTTTAAAGCTGCCAACACAACGAGAAGAGAAGCCACTTAAACTAATGTAACCTGTAATAACCAAACCCCCATCTTCTAATCTCAAAGCTTCGATTCTGTGCCCAATATTCACACTGGACAATTACCCCAAAACAACGATACTCCACGCCTGCGGCCCCCTCCCAGCTGCAGCATTTATACGAGATTCTTTTCCCATGCATAGTGTTGGTACATCTTACTCTGGTAAAATTACCTTGTTTGTCTTTATGCGTATTCTGTCTCCTCGGGATTTCTCAACGCACTTCCGCGCTCTCTTGTAAAGTCTATGGTTCATCTCGTCTCTGGAAACAGACGCATCCGACAGATCCCACTTTCAAATAAACATATTTGTTCCCTCCGAATACTTCCCACAAATTTGATTACCAATCTATCATATCCTGTATATTCGTTATTTTTCATCATCTTTCATCACTTTTAATTTCCTTATTTTCCCAGAATCTTTTAAATTTCTCAAACTGCAACTTTGCAACTCTCTCCAGAATCTCCCACAAGCACTGTGGGCATCTGCAAAACAAGTGTTTTCACTTTAAATTTTTGTATATAAACACTTGGTTTTCAGAGCCCATATTTTTTTGTAAATCCCCATTGTTTTCCCCTACATCCTGTCATAACAAATATTCTTTCAGTAATACTCTACCACAAACTTACCAAGTATAATTCAACAGTTTAATGAATGGTTTTGAAAAACCGTCGGGTTTTTCAAACCATTCATCACAACTGTCAGACACTGCAAACATCATGGGATCTTGTTTCAAAGAATTCTTCAACACTTGTTCAACCTTTTGGGCGAAGACCTACTTCGACTAGTGGATGGTCCACTATGAACCCGCCTCCGCCTGCCCTTTACCTCACCTGACCTACTTCGACTAGTGGATGGTACCACATGGACCCTGCCTTTCCCCCTGCTTCACCTCACCTCACTACAGTATATAAGCCACTCTACGGCCCTATGCTGTGCATTCTACAAGATTGATGGACTGAACACATCGACTCCAGGCTGAGGAACTGATTACCTCATTCCCCCCCCCCTTTACCCGTCCTCTTTGTTTTGGGACGAGAACCCCAGGGAGGCGAAACGTTCCTGAATAAAGATTCCCATAGCGGCATAAGTGTCTAAAACTTCAACTTATTTTCGACATTTTTTTTCTACTGTATTTTTATATTTTTTTAACCCTTTTTTCCCTTATGAAAAAGGAATTGGCATTGTCCCAATCAATAGAACCCTACCCCCTTTAAAAATATCTTAAAAGCATCAACGCCTCCAAAAAATTGTATCCTTTTTTAAAAAAAAAAACCATCCCCCCGGGCCGGGATTAAACCCGCGGCATATCTCAAAACTCCCCACCCGCGCGTTACCACGATTCTAAGGGGTCATGTATCCTTTTGATTCCAACCACCAGCGACTTTTCTATTTTCATTGACACACAGCCTCACTCACCTCCCCACACAATACTGCACTTCCCGACTCCTACAATAGTTTTTATTCCCGCCAATGCATGAAATTTCTGCCTCTCCCCCTAAAATTTAATAAAATTTTCAAACTGTACCTTCCCTCCATTACTTTTTTTTTTGCTAAATCCATTCCTACCTAAGTTTTTTCCCACGATTAATCTCACTCTGCTACTTATTTTTATTCTCAAAAACAATTTCTCGATCAATTCTCACCCACTCGCTCTCCGCTTTCATTCCTTTAACCTTTGGGTTTTCGTGGGACACCAGTCCCCAGGGACACGTACCATTGTAGTACCTCACATACTTAACGTTTTTCTCCTTTTAAAATCCTCTTTTCCTTTTTATGCCACTAAAAAATTCTATGCAGTCAAACCCTTTCATAAACCAATTATAATATATATATATAATATTCGTGCCGAATAGGTAAAATGTTCTTTTTAAAATTTTCTATTATACGTTTAAAATTTTTTTTTCATTTATGTTTAAAGTAAAAAAAAATAATTTTGACAAAAAAAACCTTAGAAAACTTACCGACCTTTTTGAAACAAGGCAGTTTTTTTTAGCATAATCCATATAAATATAAACATAGTTTTTCGGGAATTTTAAAAAACACAAGAAAAAAATTTTTCCCCCCCAGGGTCAAATATTTTGTGAAAATTTTTGCATACACAAATTTTCGTTTGTCTTATCGGGAAGAAGGTATTTTCTATTTTCAAAATAGCAAGTTTTAAAACCCTTTTAGCACTAATCCTTCAAGACCCAAACTTACCCCGTTTATACATCCACACTTTCTACTGGCATCTACACTACAGGGCCTTAAACTCCATATCAACCTTGACCTAAAACGCTTTCCCTTTATAGTTTGACAGGACCCCAGGGAAAACACCAACACAAACATCCTGACTTCCCCCTGTCGACTAAAA